GCATAATGTTCCCACCTCTGTGACTGTAGGGATGGTGTTCTTAGGGTCATACTCAGTGTTTTTATTCCTCCAAACACGGCAAGTTGAGTTGATGCCAGAGAGCTCAATTTTGGTGTCATCTGACCACAGCACTTTCTCCCAGTTCTCTTCTGAATCTTTAGATGTTCATTGGCAAACTTCAGATGGGCCTGTAGATGTGGCTCCTTGAGGAGGGGGACCTTGTGGGTGCTGCAGGATTTCAATCCATGGTGGCGTACTGTTTTATCAGTGGTTTGTTTGGTGTCCCAACTGCCTTGAGATCATTCACAAGCACCTCCCTGTAGTTCTGGGCCGATCCCTCACTTTTCTCATGATCATCCTTGCCTCATGAGGCGAAATCTTGCATGGAGCTCCAGAACGAGGGCCACTGATGGTTAGTTTGTATTTCTTATCAAATACTTATTTCATTCACTGAAATGCAACTCAGTTTATAACTTTTGTATCATGTGCTTTTGGGGGATTTTTTGTTGATATTCTGTTTCTATCCTTTAGAATAAACCTATGATTAAAAATTATAGACCCTTCATTTCTTTGTAAGTGGGCAAAACTACAAAATCAGCAGGGGATCAATTATTTTCCCCACTGTATAGCTTTTTTTTATATTAGAAAATAAAGACATCTGACACTATAAAATCACAGGTGACCATTCATACAGATCAGGAGGAAGCCTTCAGAGAAGCAGATGTCATCCTCCTGCTGGATGAGCAGTGGTCAGAGAATGAGAGTGAGGAGGAAAAGAGGAAGAAAGTAAAGGAAACATCCAAGCATTATGGACAACTGATTGATGCAAGGGCCAACAAGGAGGTGAAGGTGATTGTGTCTGGTGACTCATTTGTCAACTTGAGGTGCTCACTTCTTGTGGAGAGTGCACCCTCCATTGACTGGCGCCAGTTTGTCACCATAGCAACTCAGCTGGAAAATGAAGCCAGGGCCATAATTGCAAAGAAGCTGAAAGTGAGGACATCAGGTAGCTCTTAATTCTTTGAGCACATGTTTCCACTGCATTCAACACTAGCACAATTCACAGAAGATGACTTCTTCCTCTTCTTCTCCTCTAGATATTACAGATGTCATTGTGTGGGGAAATATCAGTGGTAGTTTCTACATTGACCTGCAGATGGCGAAGGTTTTCAACTATGACGGAGCAATCAAAGGGCCATCATTCTTTTCCCAGTCACTCTTAAAGATTTTCCATGACAGGTTTGTCCTGCTGTGACATCCCTCTGTGCCAGTGTTGATTGTACACACAAAAGACAGTAATCTTCATCTTCTTTCCAGAAACTGGTTGAAAACAGACTTCCAAGACCTGGTGTGTTGTCAGCGAGCAGCTGTGACTTCAAAGACCTGCCGGGCAGCAGCCATGTCTGCCACCAATGGGATCCTCACCATCCTAAAGGCTTGGAATGGCATCTGTAATCCACATGAGGTCTTCTCTCTGGGTGTCCTTTGCCCAGGTTAAGATACAACCAATAAGGGATTGGGGATGAGGGATCTATATCCATATCATAGCTCTTATGACTGGTCTAGCCAGTGTTGAGGTGTGGTCATCTCTGGCTGCTTGCAGGCTACTACAGTCTCCCAGATGGCATCGTCCTCTCAATTCCAGTAACCTTCGCAGGTGGTAAATGGTCTGCGCTATTTGATGCAACAGTTGGAGATGAGCTGAAGGAGAAACTCCAGCTTTCTGCAAGTGAACTCAGGCAGGTATGTCACGTTACAAAAATAAAAGGGGATTTTGCACAGTATGTTGTTAAATGTATGTTTTTCCACAAATGCTTCTAAGGCGCTAACAGAGTTGTTTTGCTTTCCCAGGAAAAAGAACATATCAGAAAATGGCACAATTGTCAGGAATAAAGAAGACAGATAAAAAAAAAAAGACTGCAGAATTAAATGAATTCAAAATAATTAAGTGAATAATTGATAAATTTCAGTGCCACATTTTTTTCTTGTTTCAGTTTGTTCTTTTATTCTCTTACTGATATGTGGAGTTGCAGTTTTATTTTAACAGGTTCATGACAAATTGCCGTTTTGTGAAACTTCATAGCTGTTATATTTTTAGATGTAAAAGATCAAACTGAGTACTTTATGGAAAAAGGAGAAATTAGAAAATATATTCTTTTTTTTTTTAATTGTACAGTTCAGTAAGTGTCATTTTTATATAATTCAAGAAGCTATTTTTAAGCATAAAACACACTACTACCATATACAAACTAGTTTGTTAATATCCTTCTCCAAGTCCGATGTTACCACTTGACACACGCTTACATTTACAGCTGAGGACACATCAAAACTTAATCACCTCATTCGTAATTATATACCAAACAAACTGAATTTCATGGGCTCTTTAAACCTGAAACATTCAAATCAACCTTGTGCCCTCACAAATTGTGCACTACTTTGTCAGATGACAAGGAGAACTTGAACAGAATGCTGTTTTTACATGCAGAATATACACACTTTTTAAGCATTTCTACACTATACACAAGGAGGCATTGACCGAAAAAAGTAAAGGTTAGTACAAATGTAGCGCACTACGACAAGTCAGGGAATGGTCTCATATTCTTTGATGTTATATTCAATTTGCACAACCCACCCCTGAGATTTAGACGCTGAGTGGCTTCTTAAAAAAAAAAAAAAAAAAAATGCTGTAGATTTTTTTTTTTGTCATCTTAAAAATGTTTCACAAATTACCAGCTGTGGCCAGATACATAATGAGTGAGCCAAGTTTTAGGTCCCTTCAAAAACAGGAAAAAAGTGCTCTAATAAAAGTAACACTTAAAAATTGACCTCAAATATTGATCATTGTAAATACATGCATGATTCATGGCATGCATGGACTTGTTGTGGCACAAAATAGGTTATTTGCTAAATATACATATCCCAGTGATGACTATACATGTACAAATAGTTGGGTACAGACAAGCCTAACTCTCAAAAAGCCTGTGATTTTCAACAAAACTGTAGATCAAGAATAAATTCAGTTACATATGGACCAATTACATATGGATATATGAAATTAAAGTCCATTCACAAATGTCAATAAAAAGAAGGCATCACAGGAAATTCAGAAACAATTCTTTTATCTTGTCACATTGAAGTCACTTATGCTTATGGATGATGATCTACTACTTGTCAGCATCCAGCAGTGTCAGAAATTAACTTTTCATTTCCAGGCAACAAGTGAAAGACAACTAATGACTGAGTGCCTGTCGAAACTAGAGCCTTGGAGGAAAAAGTGTTAGTCTACAAAGTCCAACTCTGGGAATATGCAACCACAAATTAAACCTGGATGTCATTAGATTATCATAACAATCATTCTAGGTAACTAAAAGGTAAAATTTACTTTCAATCTGCCTCTCAGCTCAACAGAGTTTAACCAACTGACCATTAAATTAAATAATTTATAGCATATATTAATAGTTACATAATCAAACCTTTGAACTCTTAATGTCTGGCTGAACAGTTCCTGTAATGTGTGGGTATGAAGGCAGAATGCACTGAATAAACTCAACCATGTGCCACACAATGACCAATCAACAGTATTAAACACCAAATCTTTGATAAATGTTTTGAATACAGAAGTATGGATATAATGTAGTTCTAAGGTAGAAATAAAAACAACAGTTGGAGGTGGGGTTCAACAGGGAAGCTATAATTGTGATCGATGTTGAGGCGATGGGAGCTCTTCCGTCTGCCTGTCTGTCAGAGCTGAGGCCTAGCCCTTCATCCACCTGCTCCAGTTCACTTTGGTCCAGAAGCTCAAAGTCCTCTTCCTCAGCTGCAACTAGTGTGTCGTCAGGCATCTCCTCGCTGGCGCCGCTTTCTGTTGTAATCACCTCATCAGGCTCCAGTGCCCCTACTGTGGTAACTGCAGTGTTGGTGTCATTTGGTTGACTGGAAGTCTCCAGAGCACTCGGTGGAGTTTCAGTGGGAAGGAACTCAGCCAGGGAGGGCTCCTCGCTGGAGCACAGCAGGGCTGACAGTGTGTTCTGCACTACGGTGGAGATGGCTGTACTCACAATCTCCTCACTCAAGGCTTCCAGGGACCGCTGTGCATCCTGGGTCATGGCAGCTTCTTTCTCCTCACCCCCCTGCCTGCCCGCTTCCACCCCTGCACCTGGCACAGGAAACATTCCTTCCTCACCCTCTGGTGGTCGTCCATGTCCGTTGAAGTGCATGTTCACAAAATGCAGTGGGGATGCTAGGTGCTGGATCAGGAGGCTGGTGGGGCTCAATGGCTCCCCCTCTGACTGAGCACCAGCCTGGGCTCCACCTCCTTGCCTGGGGCCTCGCAGAGGAAAGTTGAGCAGGTTGTGCTCAATGGACGGGAACTCCTCGACTGAGGGGAACTCAGGGAGATCCCGCAGGTAGGACTCCTCTGGTTCACTGTGTAAACTCTGCTGGTCCAAGTCTGTTGTAGAAATGAGTCAAATCAAACTCAGCTAACTCACGCATCTAAGCCAGTAGTGATTAGGAACACTGAGCTTTCAAAGCAGTAAATCACAAATATACTTGTACTTAAGTGTACACTTGAGTTAACAGAAAACTACAGAATTGGTGAACTGACACATAGCTAAACTTCTTAGCTGTTTGCAGTGCTTAATTTTAAGTTATGAGGTCCCCGACACCACTTGATGATGGACCCGGCATGTCAATGTGGGGAGAGGAGGTCCTGGAAGGAAAATAAATTCCTCAATGACCGGTGTGTTTGTGGTAGTTTCCACATTAAAGGGGCCAGCTGAGGCAAAACATTATTTGTTGTGCGTTTGTAGTGGCCAAAAAAAAAAAACAAAAAACCACACATTAGAAGACACTCGTTCAAGCGTGACTTATAAATGTCAAGTGCAATTGATGCTAAATACATTAGGACTGCTAGGCTATATATCCGTTTAATCAACAGCAAGCCTGACATCATATTTGGGGTCTTATTACTCTACTAAAGATTAACATTATATTCAGAGTATTACAGCAACAAATGTGAAGCACGCCAGAGTCTATATAATGCAGTAACAATAAATACAAATGTTCTTACTTTCTATTATTTAAAACAGCCCATAACAGTCATTGGCAGGAGGCCTCTTTCACGTTATTCTGTGCTATCCAGCCCTATGTCCACTTGAAACCCTTGACTTCACCATCAGACTGGCTTGTACTGGACTTTTCATTAGCATTTGTAGGCTTTAAAACTGGCCTGCTTGCTGACCACCTTCACCCTGCTACAACTTGAAATGCTTTAGCAAATTCGCCAGTCTTTTTCACATTTTCACTCCATGGCTAACACATCATTACACTGAATGCGCACTTGACCCGCGCAGGCTGGTTATGTTGTGACATAATTAACCTAACTGCCTGTTTTTACTGCATTTAATCATTTTAATTTGAGCCTAAGGTGCTGTTGTAAAAGGTTACGTGTACCAAAAGTATTAGACCTCGGACTTTTTATATATATATATTCTTATATTCAGTGTATTTCATATGTATATGAGGTGCCAGGTCCATCACAATAGATGCCGGTCACAATTTGAGAGGCACCAGATCCTGATCTGGCTTGTCCCGGCACAAAATAACCTCTGGCTGTTTGTATGCTTCAAGCTTTAAAGTGAGGACTAAACATCCGGGGCTGTCTGATGAGCACTGTGGATGTCTAAGACAATTAAACAGAAAATAAATTTAAGAACAATACATGTGGAATTCTGCTATCTCACAAATTGAAATGCCCTTAACCACTGACAGAATATTTCCAAACAGACATCACTCATAAGCAAGAGTAAGGGAAGTGAGTGATAATTACCTTCAGAGACATCAGTGAGTTGAGGAGTGGTAGCTCTGGACACTGAGAACCCACCACTCTCCAGGATGGATGCTTCCTCGTCCGACAGCTCGGAGTCTGTGATGGCCATCGCCAGAGCTGTAGTCTTCACATCCACCTGAGCAACAAAACCACAGCATTATTACTTTGCTGCTGAAACACAAACGTACCATCATATAGATAAATTACAGTAGGTTATATTTATATTAAGCTGGCACTGAACTAATCCACTCCACAGACATACAGCAGCTTAGTGTCTGAATACCTGACATAATATCAACACTGTTAGTAACCGAATGAACTATATACATCCTACAGTGGCACTAATGGAATGAGGTAGTCCTTGAAAGAAAGTTCATGTGATTTATTACACAATGACTATTTAAGTTACAGCAAAAGAAAAAAAAAAAAAAAACCATCACCAAATTCATAAAAGCCAGGACTGACAATAGCGAACCACTTCCAGCTGCAACCATACACACTGACATAAGTCTGCTCTATGTGGCAGTGTCACATGGTTGTGTGTCCATACCGTTGGGGCAAAACAGGACAGCTCCTCCTCGCTCTCACTCTCTGTTTCAGCTCTTGGCTCATCACCTTCGTCAACCTCTTTCTTCACCTCTGTTAAAAACACACATGCACACTTTTAAAATGCCACCCTGCTGAAGAAAACCAATGACTGAAAGATCTGATTCAAAGAAGTAACAGCTCCTGGTTCTGTACTATACCGTTTGAATAAACCTACAGTACACTAAATGTAACATACTGTACATGAGAAACAGGATCTACTGTATGAACCTGAGGAACTTCAAATCACACTCCTTTGACAGTCTACACGGTTCTATTTACAGTGGTGTTACAGTGCCTGATATTCTTTCTGTGTTGGCAGTAGCTTGTGTCCGAGGTTTGGTATGAGCAAAAAGAAACTCAAGTTCTTTGTGTAACAGTTCCTTCTTGCAAGTCCTGCGTTAATGTTACAGTCCTAAATCTATGGCCTGAAGGTGTCACGGTGTCACTCACTCCTCTTGTCATGCTTGCGGTGTTCTGTATCTCCCTTCATGCTGTAGTCCAGTTTCATCAGGATTGGCTCCAAGGCTGTGTACATTCGCTGGATGAGTTCATGATACACCACCAGTGGCCACAAAAGCACGCTCAGGACTGAACAGGGGCACAGACAAAAAAGATGAAGCATATTCTTCACAAGTGTCAAAACAAGATGCTGACGGGCAGTATTTTCTGAAAAAAGGCAGGGAACCCAGTTATGTGATCTATAAATGTGGGACTGCATGAAGAGATATAGTTGATGTAGAATTATCCACTTGCTAAAAAAAAAAAAAACACATCTACGGTCACAAGTACACATCTCATTAAGAATTAGGTTTTTATGCCAATTGGGAATGAAGATACTCACCTATAATATAGGAGATCATGATTCCTGGTACATAATGTCCAACTATGGCAAGTACAAAACAGCCACTGCACATCATCACACAGAACTGGAAAGTGAAAACAAATAAGAGAAATGAGGCGTCTGCCGAGCTGCAAGGGGTAACAACAGGAGGAAGTGTGAGGGGTGTTAGTGTACGCCAGAAGTGAATATCTGAATGAGTTCTTTGCAGCTACAGCACCTGGTCAGATTAGACAGTTTGCACCCTGCCTTAAATACCCATACTTCCCTGGGTTTTTAGACAGCCAGAATACTAAACACAAGCATTTTGTCTTTTCATCAGCCATACTGTTAGCAATTATGACTTTTACATGCAGTATTCAGCTGTGTCTGCTATCAACACAAGACTGACTGCAGTTTGCTCTCAGGTTTGCAGAATAAGATTTAAACATAAGACAGTGAGGTATAAGACAGCTGAACTTTCAATAGTCTTGGTCCAAGTTCTGCACCTTGCCATGATTCTGTCGCTTGTATTGCAGCATCTCCTGCAGGTACAGACAGCAGGTCAGGTAGCTCTCAGCTAGGTGGTGGCTGAGCTCAGGAACACTGAGCAGATGCTGCTCCACTCCCATTGTTTCACTATATGCAGGCAAGCAAACACAGGAAAAGAGTAACACAATAAACACCTGCAAAGGTCAAAATTCTGTACTTAAAAGTGCACTGAGCTATACTTAAAGGTAGGGTTGATGATTCTTTTCAGAACCATTTTTGTTACATATCATGAATTTCTCTTTATCCTGATGGCAATGAATACATTAAATGGACTGACAACATAAAAAAACCAGACATCAGCAGCAGCAGGGCTGAGAAACACCTGACCAATAGTTAAGTTCTTAATTGTGTGCACTCTGCCAGTGCACTCAATATGTAACAATTTCCTGAAATGTGTTAGTAGCAGTCAGGCACCCAGTGTCCATTTTGTTTTGGAAGAGTGGCTTTGGAGACAAGTCAAAACAAAAGGGTGGGATTGATTTCTTCAGTTGTCTACTTTCAAAATTGAGCTTCCTCTTGCTAGTTTTTCCAGGATCACCAACCCTACCTTTAAATGCCTGCAGTGAAATAGTGTACGATTCCACGTTCATGTAGCGACAGTTGAGAGAAGAAGATACACGGATGAACACAAACACAAAAGACTGTTGGTGTAAAATGATACGTCACATGTGGAGACATAGATATAAAGACAGACTTCACTGTGATGTGCTTTAACATATGCTCTTAGTTTTACTTCAGTTAATAAAGACGAGAGTAAAAAAAAAAAACAAAAAAAAAACACATACCTCTGCACAGGGTGAGCCTCTGCACATTGAACTAGAGAAATGAAAAACACTCAATTAGGAAATCATGAACAAAAATATATTTTGGTAGACAAATCTCATCAAAAGGAGTTTTGCCAAGAGTACCACAATATCTCAGGGGATAAAGAGGCTATTTATGCAAGAATGCAAAAAATCCATCAGATAGGCATTAAGAGACACATAAAATAATAATAATAATAATAACAGTGCTATGCTGACTTTAAATAGAGGGTTTTATGTATAATGTTTATTTGACAGGTTTCCATCTTGGAAAGACAGTGCACCCAGATATAAAGTTGTGCTGGACTTCTTCATCCAGTCCAGCTACTGGGCTCCACAAATATAGAGTTTAATTGGCACCTCAAAGGTGAACATTTGCTTCGGTAGTGAGTGACAAAACCTGGGGAATAGATTCTGATTACATGAAGGCATAGGCTTACCAGTAATGATGGGCAACGTGGGCTTCCATCT